CCCCCTCCCCCCACCCCCTCCTCTCCACCTCCTCCTTCACCCTCACCGCCCCCCTTTCGGCCTCCCTCACAACCCTCTCCCACTTCACCCCCCTCACAACCTCCTCCCACCCCTTCCCCTGTACCCCCTGCATCCACTCCACTGCCCTCCTATCCGCACCCGTCAGCGCGCCCACCACCACCCCCGCGCCCACGAGGCTCCCGCCTGCTATCAGGAGCGACCCCTTCATTGTTGCCGACTGCGCCGCCGCGAAGGCGGAGTGTGCGGCGACGTTGCCGATGTGGGACTGCCATGCTGCTGCAGTGCTACCTAGGTGGGCGTTAGTACAGAAGGGAAGGGACAGGGAAAGGAGGAGAGGGGCAGGAGGGAGGGACGTACCGGCGGCGGGCCCACTAATGGTAAAGCCGAGCGCGAGAGGGAGCACGATGGTCGCGGTGCCGGCGAGGAAGAGCGCTGTGCTGACGGGGTGGTCGCTCATGAAGGTGAGGGCGTTGGTGCGGTGGGCTTGCAGCTGGGCGATGTAGTGGGAGAGGGGTTTTGTGTCGGGCATTTTGGCTTCTGGGTTTTTGGTGGAGATGGGAGTGGATGGCAGGGAGGCGCTTGTGTATGTAGCTGAACAGTTCAGGCAACCCATTGGAGGTGGCGTGCTTTATCGTTATCTTATCGATATCAGATCGATCAGTTCTCGCTTATCTACATACTTACAGGGATTCTGCACACCCGCACCGCAATACCTCAAACGCCCCCTCTTTACAGTTTCTTGGAAAGTGTTTCTTGACTGAATTGGCGACAATTTCCCCGGCGGAAGGTTGGGAGGGGCCCTCGCAAGCCGCGTACCCTATATACTTTTCTCCGTATTAATCGCAATTAATCCGAGCCGCCGCGCCGACCACTAAGTCTCACCTACCTACGTCCAATACAGCCTGCTCTGTAGCTAGCAGCTGCAGAGAGCGCTGCATACTCACCGCCGGAAGGGACCAGTGAATGCCACCGCGAAGTTGGGTTTGGAGTCTCTAAAGGGGCAGTCTCGGGTCGGATGCGACTGGGGATACATTTGAACAAAGACGGATCAGGAACAGTACAAGGGTGAGCAGGAAGCCGAAGAATTCAAGGTGGGCCATCTGAATCTTCGGATTCAGTAGAACCAAGTTCGCGTAATGAAGACAAGGACTAGGTTCGAAAGCTAACAGATACAGGAGAGAAGAAAAGATAAAGGTTGTTTATATTGTATAGAAGCATAAAGTTTATCGCACGACTACAACTACCGACGGCAATAAGGAAAAGACAAAAGAAAAGATAGAAATAACGAGCGCAATATTAGGTAGGTTATCAGAAACTAAGCGACGTACAAAGTAGCAACCCTACAGTAAAAATAGAAACCTATGAACTTCTCAATCAACATCAGAAAACCAATACTTATGTACCTGTTCAACATAAAACAGGATCATTACTGTCATAGCCCTTAAAAGAGGAGGAAGCCCTGCACGAAGGTGAGGCTAAAGGCTACGTCAAGAGTGTTAGGTGTAAAAGCATAGGGTAATAGTCAAATATATACACCGTGATGTCTGCTCGTCAGCAAGCAAAGCAGTAAAAGGTTTCAGGCTATAAAGGGCACAGTCAAAATATATTAGAGAAAACCGTTACCTGTTGTTGGGCTTTCCAGTTGTAATCTTCAAACTCAATTTCAGTAGTATATAGTGTATCTACCCAATAGCTAGGTCAGTCCATTTGCGGAGACGTGTATTAACTTGAGGGAGATGGAATATACATGCGGTATTCATCTTAATTGCAACTCCTGAGATAGGAGTGCGCGGTTCATTGTTCACATACTTCTGTGCTAGGGAGTTGATAGTCTTGAAATAGGGCGCTCGGCACGTTTCATAGTATTGGAGGATTCTCATCATTTCATTATAGTATTTATCATCGGCGCATGACTCACTTTCTTATTAGTCATTCTATTACTCACACGTCCATGACTCATTATATTTCTTTTGTACTACCTTTCATTGGTATAAATACGGGGCATTCCCCCTTAGCTAGAACAACAACACGATCAATTACTTTACTTCTCCTACATACTTTCTCTAGATAGCAGTGATTCCCGACGACGGTGAGCAAGAGATTCGAGGGTTGACCTATAGCTAGTACGGAGTAATTGATAATGGCAATAATGATCCATCCTAAAGTTCAAGCAGGATTTGATTGTAGAAACATTGGAGGGGGTATTGCGAGAGGGTGGCGATGGGAGGTTGTCTGAACTGACATGGTATAGCGGTGATGGCGGTAATGGTGCTGGCTGATGTTTCTTTTTTGAAAGGTAATTTCCGGTGGTGCTGGCTGCGGTATGAATATTGGATTCCGCGGTTATGATTGCTGGGAGCATGTCTCGAGCGAGAGAGCCGAGTACGGAATGGAAATAACTCGAATATGGTGTCTGGAACACCTAACTAGCTGTGGTGTTGATTCACGATTTGATGGACTTTGGTTTGGTGTACATGAAGATGGGAGATGGGAGCTTCCTGCGTTGTGGATGGTTGTGCACGTGTCAGTTCCTACTCCCAACCCTCACATATCTCCCTCGTATCCCTCCTTACACCCGTTCCATACACCCCCACAATAACGTTTGATGGCTTTTATTATAATCAGCCGCTAACAATAGCTACCACTGACTCCCACTCGCGGGTCAGGATTTAATCATCAAATCCCAACCTGTCTACCGCCGATTAATATGAGTTGGTTAATTTACCTCCCCCGCGCAACTTAATTAACCTCAGGTCGCCGCGGGAATGCGCTTTAGTGCTCCAGTATCCACAACCTAACCCTGGTGATATGATTTTTAGTTTGTTTTAGTTTTATCCCATTCCTGCCTAATTCATTAAATACATACACCCTTACGACTATGTGGGTGGTTGGGGCGATTTAGTGGGGGTAAGAAGAGAAGAGTGGTATTTGGTAAGATCTCTCGGTTTGAAAAAGGATTTGTTCTAGGGCTGTTCATTCAATAGGTTTTTTACGACGGGGGCCAGCCGCTATTCCTAGATATGTCCAGTCCGAGCTTGGGGGTGGGGGAGGGGGAGGGGGAGGGGGAGGGGGCGCTGGAGAAGGCGAAGAGGAATCATCAGTACTGCGAGAAAACTATGAGGAGAAGAAAGGCCTAGGCTAGAGAGGAATGGATGCACACTCTGGCATAAACAGGAAGCTTAGGGCGTACGCGTCCTGATAACTATTTCTGACCACCTTGTTCGTCCGCCAGCGAGTTTCGCGGTCCGCCCATCATAAATCGCTAAAAGAAACACCGGCGAGCTACAGTGTACATAGGTAGTCGACTAACCATCCAGACCCACACCCCCGGTTCCTTTACCACCATACCAGGTCTTGAGATTCCGTCGTCGTTTTGTGTGCAGTGGGTTTGGGTTCTGCAGTTGCGGGCATGGACTACCACTGACCTCTTATCTCTTTCCCGGATTGAGAGCTGTCTCGTCTTCTATCTCGTCGGTGAAGGATGAGATAGGTCTTGGGAGTGTGAAGGGGCCTTGAGGTAACTGTGGTCTCGGGTTCAATAGTACCAAACGGCTCCAACCCAGATCGTATCTAAAGTTAGATTGTCATTTCTTACACCTGCAAATGGCATGGATCATCCTACTCAAATTGATGTACGTATACCTCAGGGCATCAAAGCCTTGTTCGGACGTCATATACGTGCCACACAGCGCCCCCTCACCTTCCCCCACTCCGATCTATACCTTGATACCCAGGCAGAGGTTTCCAAGAGCGAGTGTATACCAAATTCATGATTATCAATCAATCAACTTGGTGCGTAATCATATCCTATCACTCGATATCACGCCAAGCCTTGGCGCGAGTGATTCTCCATGACAATGCCAAACACCACTAACCGTCCATAGAGCTGGATGGACTAGCTTGGATCAGCGCGTCCAGTGATCTTCAAAAAGATTTCTGGCTGAAGTCTGAATGTACGATGGGCGAAATAACTCTTTTTGTATCTTATGCAGTCCGTCAGTCCGTCAGTCGACTGACCCTTAATTGGACGGACTGCCAAGCTCTTTTATCAGTCCATGGACTGCAGTCGACTACTCATATTTCTCTGATGTTTGTGGACGCGACTGTTATTGCATGACATACAAAAATACGCCAAGCTCATGATTTGATTGTATGCAATAATGGCCTAGTTTAAAAACGTTAGTATATATAGTCGGACTGGGCGGTTGCCAGCCCGCAACTTGAAATTAAATTTTTATTACTATAATAATAATATAATAATAATTAATTTTGATTTGCCAGTGGCAGTAGACCATGTCCGACCATGCACCAGCCCGCAATACCATAGGGAGGATAAATTACCCATATGCGTATACCCCCATAACCCCGCTATGATTTTTCCGCCACCCAACGGCTGACAGCTGCACAGTGAAATTCAAGGTCTAAAACTCTCAGATTCCCCGCTACCTCCGGCGTTTTTCGGTCTCACAGGTATCAATAACGTCCAACCCCGCGTCTACCCCAGCTCCTCAGAATTCCCGCTGCGCATGCGGTAATATATGGTAAGAGAATAAGAATCTGGCAACTCCCGTGCCTGCACGCTCTACACCCCCCACATACTGCAGCTCCACCGCGGAATCCAAGTCCACCTCGCCTGTACAAATACTACCCCCTCCTACTACGCCCCTGTAATCGGGTAACTGCTTGAAGAGATTATTCAAACGCAGTATCCAAGAAATGGTCACCTTTATGGGATTTTGGTGGAGCTGCTCCACGATATGATAGGTTGCCGCTGTTTGTGGGGCGATAGTCCGACCTGCGGGCGGAATTAAGTAAACTGGAGGACATGGGAGTTGAAACAGCGGGTAAGTGCAATAATTCCCGCGATAGCTATCACCCTGCTATCCAAGATCTACAGGGCGTGTTGAAAGCATGTAAGGAATCCATAAAGCCCACAAAAGCGAGCATTGTATTGAATAAGTATATATAGTTTTAAACCCCTAGAATGTTTCACTGTCCACACCAGCTGCCGGCAACACAGCCTGTCGGCGGCTCAGATAATCCATCACAGCCTGATGTGAGGCGGACACAATCTCTCTCACCTTCCAAATATTCGTCAGAATGGGAGCCATGTCCTGAAACTGCTCCACCTCTGTAGGCAATCTCAAGGTCTCCCCACGCCTCAAGTAGTATAATTTACGCCCAATACACGACATGACAAGAAACATAAAGTTAGGCCCCGATTGTAGAATCCCCACCACGGCCAACTTCTTGATTGTGGCTTCGTCGTACGACACTTCGGATTTAAGGTTGCGGAGCATGGAGCGGCAGGCGGCGTGGAGCTTGCCGATGTCTGTATTCCATCTGACTGAGTCTGATGAGTTGAACCCGGGGTTCTTGGACGTCTGTAAAACGGCATATTCCAGCCGGGGGTCGGGGTGGATGGAGGAAACGCGCGTCCGGATGATACCATCAAAGCGTGGTGTCAGGCAGAGTGGTATGGGGTCTACACTAATCGAGTAATGTTCGAGGTTTCGTCTATAAGCGGATTAATAAAAGCGTAGAGGAGTAGGGAAATGGAGCTATGTGGTAGTGAGGAAGTGAGGTAGGGGAGGCTACAAACCGCTGAAGCATGAGAGATGGAAGGCTGGTGAAAGCCAAATCCAGAACAATCCAACAGATACCATCCCACACCCCTTGGCCGAGATCTTGTTGCCGAAGCAGGCCATGGGATTCAGTGATTAACGACATGCTTTGTAGTCATGAGGTGTCAGAAAGGGTGCGCTGTTATCAGGGATCGAAGAAAGATATACGCACAGTGTCTCTGTAGCTATATCAATCCAGTACTTGCAAGATAGCAGGTCCTTATCTGCTGATTCCCACTCTACCTCCAGAGGGTACGAAAGCTTCCTGCACTCAGCAACCGTCGAGACCTATGAAAGATAAGTATGAAAGATAAGACACTATACAAAGGGTCGAAGTGGGAGTCTACCACCTTTTCATATTGGGCGAGGTGAGCCGTGAGGTGTTTCGGGAACTTTGGCAAGGGGTAGTACTCTCTTAGTACATCGGGAGTGAAGCCTTTGCTTGTCAAAAGCTCCAGCAAATCCTTGTCGCGGATGTCAATAATTGAATATCGGGCTAGATTGGGTTCGTAGACACAGCCACCGTATTTGCTGACGATCTTCTTGAGCTCCCCCTCTTTGCTATTGTCTGGCTCGGACGAATCAGTCATGTATTCTGAATCTGAGCCTAATTCTTCCATGTCATCGTAATCATCTAAGGTTTCCTCGTCCGATGCTTCGTTCTGTTCTTCGTCTGATGACTCAAACTCGCTATAGTCGTCAAAGGTTACATTGTTCAATAATTTCCTAGGTCCATTGATCGGTTGTTTGTTCGGTCCCCCGCCCGGCAGTCCTCCAACGCTCACGTTAGCGTCAGTAGCGACGATCGTTCCATAATTGTCGCCGGCGACGTGAAGGCTGACTGTGCTACGTGCACGTATGGGTTTGTTTCCCCTGCGTAGGAAGCCTTTAGCTCTGGCACGGTCAGAGCGGCGGTCCTTCAGCTCGATAATACCATCAGTTAATCAAACAGACACCCAATTGTTGGCTAACGAGTCGGAGTAAACACAAGGGAGAAGAGGAAGATAAAGAACAGCCGCCATAAGCACCCTGGGGCCTCAGTGGAGTGAACAAACATTGATACGCACCTTGGATGAGGAGTAGCCTTGAAGGAGCGTTGCAGCACGGGACGCAGCACTCTCGTCAGGTTGATTTGCTCTTTGCCGTAGCTGGCGTTGCCAGGCACTGAGGACCACCTCGGAGTTCAGTTGAGCGGGCCCGATGCAGGCCTGGCAGAATCGCAGATACTTCAAGATGTCCCAATCCGCATGCTGCACTCGGTCGAAGTATGAAAGATAATCTGTAGGATTGGGGGTTTTGTGGGTCCGGATCATTTCGGCCATGACGAGAGTTTGTAGAGTAGAAGATGTGTACGATTTAAGCGAGGACGGGGGTGAAAGCCTGTTAATATATACGTGAAGGCTGGGCGCCAAGGGCTGAAGGAGGGATGATAAGGTTCTGCACGCTCAAGTTTGGTACCTTTTGCCGCGATTTTTGAGGTGAGTCACAATTGACACGGATCAAGACCAAGGTGCTGCAGGTGGCCGCGGGCAAATCCAACTACCGTGAAGTAGCTTGGGCGTGACTACGTGTATGGGAGAATACACGTATTCACCTCAATCGGGCATAACATTCAAATCTTGGGACTTCCTATGAAAACAGGCGGCTCTATCACAAGCGCCAATGAATTTTGTGATTCTTGTTGATCTATTGCCCAATTGAGCTGCATCGTTCTAGATCGATGTCTCGAGCCTGAACTCCTGCTGCTGCTGTGGTTACTGTTTTCGGAGATATCTCGTGAAGGAGAGGAAAGAACCGAGAAGGTGAGGAATGTGTTGATGAGTAGAAAGAAAGGAGAAGGTGTGCGATCAAGTAGCTCTTTCCTTATACTGACAAGTTAGAGGACAAACTGTTTCTAATATAAAAGTATAGGTTGTTTGGAACAACGTCCAAAGAACACAATGAAACGTTCAACAATGCAATTGTTGACAACATCCACCGGAATGACTGGCCACAACACATTTACAACTTCCAAGTAAATACATCCTACGTGCGCTGATTTCAAAACCTCGTTATTTTAACTTTTAACACGATCAATGTGACGCAGTGCCAAGGAAGAAAGGTGTGGGGTCAGGGTTAAATTAGGCTGGCTCGCTTATCGAATCGGACCTTTGTTTCGGGGTTCGTGGGTGTGCGGCTCGGCCCGCACCGAAACCCGTTGAAATTAGCGTCTTCGCCGCAGTACTACATCAGAATCCGATAAGACAAATACGATTCTGATGACCTACTCTCAACACCCGACATATGCACGCAAACAGAGACACTGACACCACAATACAAGCACCCCGCGAATACCAAGTAGCGTATAGACGCCCACCTTGGGATATACGCCAAGAACACGCCCACCAGCAAACGAGTCCGACAAACCAGCAGCAAATCCATCAAAGGTGCAAACACTACATGCATGTAAGTACCTACTTACCGGCCAGTTCAAACGCATAGACATATGTTGCATTCATCTGTACTCCGCCTCGCACCTGGACCTCAAGCTTACCCCACCTCCTTCCTACCATCCATACATTACAACCACCAACTTCAAGCCTATTAATGAATTAAACAAAAAAAACTTCAAGCCTACCAAAACCACACCAACCCCAGTGCCGCGGTTCCCAGCGCCCCCTCCGCTTACTGCTTGCCACTAGGTCCATCAGAGCGACCGCGGCCTTATACCCTCCACCTATCTCTACTTCTACCCCCTCCGCCTCGCAATCTCACGGTATTTTATAGGTGACCCCGCATTATCAAGAGACTCCCCCGGTTCCTCCTCTCGCAGAGTCGGTATAGGCCGTGGAGCTGCCACTTCCCCTCTCCGACACGAGACCGGGAGAACACTGGCCGGGAACTGTTGATCTACGCACCACTACCGCCGCCGGCGCACGCGCGCGGCTGCATCATCCTTGTCGCGCTGTATGGCTCTGTGGGCAAACTCAGCTGTGTAGTATTTGGTATGTTTTGCTCTCGACGCACCTCAAGGGCGTGCTCTCCGGTGGGCCTTATGACATAGGGGGATGAGTGATTAATGATAGATATGAGTTTTTTTTTTTTGTTTAATTCATTAATTGCATGCAACCTTACAGTTATGGCAATAGCCCCTGAACTACCCGCTCTCTTCCGCCTCCTCTCACGTTTGGCTGACATGATAGATATTGGTGTTAGAGATGTTGCGCGAAGAAAATATGTGCAAAGCGGGCCATTTAGACAAATCAAAAGCTTTGCGTATCGTTGAACGCAACGCAGAAGACAGAGATCGAGAGATTAAGATTAGAAACCAGGTCGAACTCAACACAATCATTCCGGAGTGATCGGTCGATCTTGGTTTTTGCTTAGCTTTTATGCGCCAAGTTTTGTTTTGGAGAGCGTATCAAGGACGTGAAGCTCAGTTACCCCAATACCGGAATTGAAGGGTTCACATGCGTTAATAGATAACCAATGAGGCACGGTATCAATTAATCCATCGATCGCGTCAGGGAATCTCACTCGCACCCTCACCAATCCCCGTTTCATGTATTATCACTCGCCGCCACCTCATGGATGGTCACTCGATTGATGGATGACTAACAACTTTCATAAGTCGTCACTCGGGGCATCGCTGGTCACTCGGCTTTTTAAAATGATTTTGGTCTTCCGAGGAGAGGGGGGGAGGGAGGGAGTTGTGCCTGGTTACATATACAAGTGGTTCTTATCGGTCATCGAAATCGAGAAGATTCGTTTGCGTGGAGGTTTTGTGGTGGGGTGATCGGTGGGCGGCGGTGTCCTTCTTGGCTCACATTCATTGTAGCTAGGTATAGTACAGGGAGTGATGCTTTTGTTAGGTGGAGAATTGATTGCGTGATTGACTATCTGGTGCATGGGCTATTGAATGTGTAGTGCAATGGCAACCAGGCATTAAGGTATTTTCTCAACTCCTCGATGGATCAATCGACTGGTCCACTTGCATATGACATCACTTCGGTCTACATTCCATAAGTTGCAAACCTCCGGATACGTATGCTGGCTGGGAAGGATTTGCGGTTCATTTATTTAATATTACTTCTCCTACTCAACACAGCCAGGGAGACCTTTGGGAGGCCTTGCAGGAGTTATTTCAGTCATTTGTATTGATGATGTTCTGAGGTCTGATCCGCAGACCTCTATACTTCATACTCACTGGGTTATGCTGACAGCGTGTGGTTACTTAGTTGTGGCCACCATTACTAGCTACATTACAGTCTCTCAGGACTAGCCTACTGCGAGTCCCATGTTATACCTTACAGGCCTGCTCAAAAACACTAACATTGTCATTGCTAAAAACTTAGAACACTACACCAGAAAGAATCCGGACTATACTAAATGGTCACAACCGCACTTACGATCTCTATCCTACAGTTAGCCCTCCTCTTACCGCCGCCGGTTGCACGTAAGGAAAAGACATTTATGTTCTCCGCCGCTCCGACCACTATGACAGGCATACTTTCCCTTGAAGCATCTCCGCCGAGAGCTTGGCATGCATATATACAGAATACGACTGGAGTTATCTACAGATTCCCAAGGCTGCATGCTATACTACGTTTGGCCTAGGCTTTACCCTACAGGGTAGATCTTGCTGATTTTCATCTCTAGCCCTGGCAAATACGCGAGTAACCCGAGGCAGTTAATATTGGGGAAAGTATGGCGGTCTTCACCTTCACCACGTACCTGTCACTGGGGCGGGTGTTGATTGGTTGGAACCCGGTGAGGAAAACCAGCTCATGAGGCGCAAAGGCCGCCTCAAAAGTCTTCCCGTGGCCGGAGAGTCAAGTTAGGCGTCCACACACAGATTTTCACCCAGCACCCAAGTTCACTTATGTAGACAGCGATAGACTCTACCCTACTGTAGCGCGGCCGGCCGTCAAAGCTCGGCACCAATTACATCAAAGGTCAGCTGAGTTTGTGATACGAGCTGCTCGAATCGACACCACGATCGAGTGGCAAGGCTGCCCATCTTACGTCCAAACATCAACAGATCTCGGATCGTTTTAACGGAACCGCGAGATCGAGGGCGCATCGACCCTAACTCTACGTCGACCCTAACCCTGATATCGTCGTTTGCCTGCGAAGACCAAGGAGGGAGGTGCCACGAGCATTCATTTGAGGTTGAGAGTTGTTGGTGTGCACTTAGTGATTATCCCTTAAGCCGTCAGACCGAATTGAAAAGACAGCTGTTAACCACATTCAGTAAGCATTGGGGGACATCTAGTACGATCTGCCATGTATTTGATAAGCAGCTGGCGTGACGGTATGACTGAGACCAACGTTCGATCTATCATCTTTACTGAATGTGGTTAACAGCTGCCTTTCCAATTCGGCCTGACGACTTAAGGGATATGAGGCTTTTTGGGACGCCGTTCTTTCTAGAGATCCCCTTCTGAACCCCCGTCCCTATGGTCATACAGCAAGTTGGAGCGGAAACTACATACATATTCATAAATACGAGATTCACAACCGGTGGAGTTATATATATATATATTGCCTATGGATGGAAGAGGAGAGGAGAGAGACAATCAAAGCCCATTACTATATACATTTACAATCACCTTTGTTTCTCTCTTGATATGTACTCCAGTGTCCCATGTCCGGCCTGGTTCCCTTCCTAATGCAGACCAACTGGCACATGACCGTGTCCTGTTTCTGCCGATGTCCCCTACCTCCAACGATTTGTATTTGCTTACCTTCTCCAAGAAGACGGGTGGCCAAAAATCATTATAAAAATCTGTGGGAATGCAACCTCATGAAACACTTAACTGTAGCAGGAGAGTGTAAGATATGAATTCCAGGGTATGTGTCTGCAAAGAATAATGAATTACTAATCGATCATTCCCCGGTAAATGATGGTATATGCAGCAGCTCAACTCATTTCGGGAGTTCTAGTTTAAGCTTTGGTCTTGGGTTTAGATGGTTCCATCCGTGTGTCCACCTACCTGTAGTAATGAGCAATATTACACTCAGATTTCTGATGTGTATTCTTGCCTCTTATTATTCCACCAATTATAGTTTTCCTTCCCAGCTTGCTCTACCTATATGTAATCATTCAGTAACACCAAGGCTTCTGATAGAAGCCTTGGGAATTAAAACCGGGGTGCACCAGGTTGTAGCTACTCGCCACGTTGGTTTGGGGGGGAGATTAGTAATTATTTGCCGGGATATGCAGGGAGATCATTAATTCCAGGCAGGATGAGCCGACTCAGCACGGTAGAGATAAGAGTATCGGTTATTGGTCGAATAGACTTGTCGGCCACCCAGTCTGATCCCGATTCCAACTCTGATT